CCCCACCTTTATGAGAACCTCTGATTGGATTTGCTTAAAATCCTTTTTTTTTTTTTCCTTCTTGAATTCCATTTCTACCGGTCGTACACAGCTTATGATAAGTACCGCGGAAATACACAGGTATACAGGTATATTTGCAGTGTTTGTGCAGCTTTTCGTCAGTCAAGTAGAAATACTCTTTTTTTAAATTTCCATTTATTTGGGTGTATTTGCAATACCTATTACTATATTTGCCACGATCGGTTTGTACTGGAATCTGAATCTACTCGGGTTATGGAGACTTTGATTCCCCCCCCCACCCTCCCCACCTCCCCATAACTTTGATTTTTAGGGAGGGTTATGTGGAAAATTCCTTTTTTTTGTTTGTCATGAAGTGGTTGTATGGTCTGCTGTAGTTTCAGTGTAGCTTTTAATGCTTTAGTGAGTGGTTGGCGGGTGCTCTGGTGTGGTTTGCTCCTTCTTTCCTATCAAACATCTATCGTCCTTATCTCCCGTTCTTCTTTTTTATGTTTGTTACTCTCTTGTAACACCTCTAATCTTCGGCACTTATATGACCTTATTGTGTTGCAAGTGCCGTAAAACACTTACTAAAACAAAAACTCCCCTTGTGTCCAGGTTACTCTTTTCCCTGGTCCCTCTGAAGCCCAACGACCAGCGTCTGCAAGTGCCGAAGGAACTGTACGGCCCGACCATGGTGGTCCTCACGCTCATCGCCCTACTGCTGTACCAGATGAAGACGGCCGATCACAGAGTGGTTAGTCGCCCGACTCTTTTACGATGACTTTTCTGGGCACAGTTTTATTTTTACAGCTTTACTTCGGGGGCGCACGCTCCTTGAATTTGCGATTTTTAAAAAAGAAATCCTTTTGAGACTTTTGAAGACGAAATCCATTTGCGATTTAAAAAAACAAAAAAAGAAATCCGTCTTATTCAAGTCATTTGTGAAATCTTAAGGGGGGGGGTTACTGTATTGGAGCACATGACTCAAAATATGACTTGAATTGCATATTTCATAACTATCTGGAACATGAAAAGGGCAACAAGTGGGAAAAAAAGTGAGCTAATAAAATGTGTATGTCAACGTGGTGTGTGTCAACGTGGTGTGTGTCAACGTGGTGTGTGTCAATGTGGTATGTGTCAACGTGGTGTATGTCAACGTGGTGTGTGTCAACGTGGTACTGTCTTAAAGAACCACCTGGATGTGGAGAACAAGTCAGTAGTACTTTCTTGATTTTTTAAAATCATGTGAACGGAGGAATGATACATTAACCACAATGGCATATGTGAGGCAGCTGACAGAATGAGTTGCTTCTCGCAATTCCGCAAATTGAGATATTGACCAAAAATCAACAAAAGGGTCAAATTTGTAGGTTTTCTTTTGATGCCATATTCTTTATGTATAACATGCCTTTTAGTTTTTAATACTTATAAATTGTAAAATGTTCACCTAAAAGAGTGATATGTTTATTTCCTCAAGGCTTGATTCCGAGAAATAACTTATTTTGTAAGCACGCTTCACATATGTCTACGGAAAGATAAAGATCTGACTGTTGGAGAAGAATTTAGCACTGCTTCTGCACGTACCACTGGACTATTGAAAGTTTTAACAAAAAAGTTTTGTTGAGGCCATATGTGTGATGATGTAGTGGAATCAGGCGCTCATCAATTTTGGGGTATTTAGAATAATTGGTCTCACCCTGAGACTTGCTCTCATTTGTCTTGCTTTTGATGATTCTCTTTGTATATTACACTTTTGTAATACCGCTAATCTTCAGCTCCTTATAATATGACCTATTGGTGTTGCTACAAGTACGGTAATACTGTAAAACTCTTAACTAAAAGGAGAACTGAAAGTCAGTAGAATTGTAAATGGGCTGATTTATCAATGTCATGCTCATACTGTGCCGGTACAACCTAAGGGGAACTGCTGCTTTTTCTTTCCTCATCCTTACTATTGTCATTTTCCCTCTACTTCTTTTGTATGTTTGTCACTCTCTTGTGAACTGCTATTCCCGGGGTGTCTTGATAGTCGAAGCAGACTTTGTGCTGTTGAGGCAAGAGAGGTGAGCAGAGTAAGCTTGATTCCCCGTTTAGACTTCTCTGTTGACATCCACCCCTTGGCGCTCATAATATGACCTTATGCTGTTGCAAGCGCCATGAAACCTTACTAAGTGGGTGGTTGACGGGTGCTCTGGTGTGGTTTGTTCCTTCTTTCCTATCGAACATATATCGTCCTGATCTTCCCTTCTTTTTTGTGTTTGTTACTCTCTTGTAACACCTCTAATCTTCGGCACTTATGTGACCTTATTGTGTTTCAAGTGTCGTAAAACTCTTACTAAAAATTTAAAAAACCTTACTAAAACTTGTTTCCCCCAGGAGGAGGGCACTCTGATTGGCTCGGCGTTTGGCGTGTGCTTCATGTACTGGCTGGGGGCCTCGTGCACCGTGTGGTTCGCCGCCTACGTCTGCAACATTCGCTTCGCCGCGCTTCAGGTCCTCTCTATGATGGTGAGTCGGTGGGCGGGTAGGGGGCGGGTTCAAATAAACAGGGCAGCACATGAAAAAATAGAGCGAGCTAATAAAACGTGATGTGTGTCAGTGTGGTGTGTGTGAACGTGGTGTGTGTGAACGTGGTGTGTGTCAACCTGGAGTGTGTCAACGTGGCGTGTGTCAACGTGGTGTGTGTCAACATGGTACGTTCTTAATTCTTTCCGAACGTATGTTCACACCCCATGCGGACGTATCACCGATTTGTCGGCTGTGATAGGGTGCCTCAGTATTGTTTCATTTTAACATAATCCGTCATGTATAATTACTTTATATAGCTATTGAAAAATTCGGAAAGGATTTAGGAAACGAAAACATCTAGTTTCACTTTGTCAAAGCGTGGGTTTGGGGAAAAACGAGTGAATTAGTTCTTGCGTTCCTGCATCAACAAAACGATGTAACCGGACTCAGTATAAATATCAGAATTCGAACAAAAATTGGAAAATTGCTTTTAAATAAAAAGCTGCACCTTCAGAAATTTATGGACACTGCTCTTGGCCTATGCTGATTTGCTTTCACATGTTTGGTGACTGTAATTTTTCCATCAAGATTTATTTTTCTCATCACCATCGCCATTTCTAACCCTTTTAATGCGCATACTTATGTTGAAAATTGATCCTTGTTTCATATTGGGATGTATTCCTCATTCAATTTCCTTGTATTTGATATATCATATGTTACGTTTTGAGTGATGGTTATTCTTCTATGAAGTTATTTTGTACACCACCTGCATAGCGAGAACGAGCCACAAGTTAATTATGTCTAGACCCCCAAAAAACTACGTCCGGAAAGAGTTAAAGAACCTTGATGTGGAGAACAACTCGGGAGTACTTTCTTGATGCCCTCGTCGCCCTACTGCTGTACCAGATGAAGACGGCCAATCACAGAGGGGTCTGGTGGGACAGATTATTCTGTGTCTTACAAAGACTAAGCTAACACTCTTACTGAAAGACAAAGAAAAGAAAAGAAAGTCCTACAAAAACTGAACAAAACAAATACTCTTGCCCGAAAAAACAAACAAGAACAACCCTCCTACAAAACCAAACAATTTACAAATACTCTTTTAAAAAAGCACCTCCCACTAAAACTAAACTAATACTTATACTCTTACTAAAAAACAAAAATCTCCTACAAAAACCAAACAAATACTCTTTAAAAAAAACACCTCCTACAAAAACTAAACTAATACATTTGCTAAAAAGCACAAATCTCTTACAAAACTTAACAAACACTTTTACAACAAAAAAACTCTTTCAAAAACCAAACTAACACTCTCTCTCTCTCTCCCCCCAGGGCTACGGACTGTCCAGCCACTGCATCGTGATCTTGCTGGGCACTGTGTTACACACGTCTCACGACCACATGTTCTTCTACCTGTTGTGGGCCGGGGTGGGCGGCCTGGCCACGCTGCGTATGGTGAGTGGGGGGGGGGGGTGTGGGGTGAGTGGGCCGGGGTGGGCGGCCTGGCCACACTGTGTATGGTGAGTGCGGGGGGGGGGGGGCACAAGGGGGCTATTCCCAAAAATGCTGTTTTGAGAAACGTTTTTGGACCCTTGTTCAGTTTCTTTATAAAAGACAAGGAGAGTTTTCTCTATAACCAAACAAATATACACACCAATGAAACCAAACTTCTCCTATAGGTAGAGCAATGCTCACTTTTGGTGTGGGTCAAGATTTCTGGAAACCCCCGAAGTCTGGGTTAGCCCGCTTGTCCTTAGAAGCGACCATTTGTGACCAAGTTTTATTTTTTTTTAAATTTTAAATTGTAAGTGAAAATTCGATATTATTGTTTTTGGTCCAATTTAGAATGGAAGAAGTTCTGTTCTTGCATTAGGAAAAGTTTGATGACATTTTGGTACAAGTTGTTTCAGGTCCACTTCAAAATGCAAGAAGTTCGGGTTCTTTCTCAAAAGAAGAAATTTTATGTTTCTAACATTGGCCAGTTGTTCAGATGCGCGAAGACAAAAATTTTGAAAATTATTTGTGAAGCAACGTGGTGAAACCAGGCAGGGGCTCGTCAAAATAATGAAAGTCAAGAAACTGGCATTTTTTCGCAAGTTTGGGAATTCTTATTGAAGTTTTGTTTTTGTTTTTTGGTTCAACACCTTTCATGCCCATTAATAAAGGACACATTCCTGTTTGGATTTCACTGAAAAGTGTTTATGAAAGGCAAACATATAAATTTTCAGTTTCCAAGGACTCTCAAACTAGGGAAATAACTTATCTTTGGCGGTCATATTCTCGCAAATTTTACCTCCGAAACCAGGCAACACCAACCTCCTAGAATCTCCAATATCTTGACTTGTGTCTAAGATAAATGGACATTTTTTTTCATCAAAAGCAAGGCAAATGGACTGGTTTTAAGATGATACCAAAAACTCCTAATGCCCCAAAATTGACGAGCGCCTGATCCCACCGCGTCGTTACTCATTTTAGATTTTCTGTTTCACATTTTCACATACTGTGTGATTGGTGGCATGTTATCGAGTAATAAATATGTGAACATTGTCAAATTTCCAATTCCAAAATGTTGGAAAAAAGAATAGAGTTAAAAGAATGCTACAGATTTTGCTCTGTCCTGAAAGATATTTTTTTCTGAGACAGTCGAACTGCTCAACAATGTTCTGCTTTCTCCTGTTTTTCTCAGGGG